GCCTTCCCCATCCCCCATCCCCGGCAGGGACAAGCGCGTGGTGCGGGAGCCCGACACAGAGGGAGACGTGTGGTGGGGCGCCGGATCGCCCAACTATGAGATGGACGAGCAGTGAGCCGCCTGCTGCCTGGGGGCTGCCGCGTTTGGGCTGGCGCTGCCTGGCTGCAGCTAGCTGCCGCTGCCTGGCTGCCGCTGCCTGGCTGCCGCTGCCTGGCTGCTGCCGGCTGCCGCTGCCTGGCTGCCTGGCTGCCGCTGCCTGGGGGCTGCTTGGCTGCCGCTGCCTGGTTGCCGCTGACTGGCTGCCGCTTGGCTGCCGCTGCCTGGCTGCCGCTGACTGGGGGCCGCTGATTGGCATCTTCTGGCTGGTAGCTGCTGGCGGCCTGCTGGCGGCCTGCCGCTGGCTGCCACTGCTGCACGCTCACCATACGCTGACCGCAGCCCCACACCGTGTGGGTGACCCCCAAGCATCGCCCCTTGCCCCCGCAGCACCTTCATCCTCAACCGGGAGCGCGCCGTGGATTACCTGAACACCCTGGACCGCCTGTACGGTGAGCTGGCGTGGAGCTGAGGTGGCATGCTGAGCTGGCACGCTGAGGTGGCGCTGGCGCAGAGCTGGCCCGACCTGGCATCGAGCCGGCCCCCGGCGGCCGGCGCGGTGCGTGCGTGCAGCAGCACAACGCATGCGCCTGCCATACCGCCCTGTACCTCTGCCGCCGCCCCGCCTGCAGTGTTTGACGGCTTTGCCGGGTGGGACCCCGCCGCGCGCTTCAAGATCCGGGTGGTGTGCGCGCGACCCTACCACGCCCTCTTCATGAACAACATGCTCATCCGGTGAGCTCAATGAGCCTGAATGGGAGCGAGAGAAAAGCATCAATGAGAGAGGGGGAGAGAGAGAGGAAGGGAGAGAGAGCGCGCGAGAGAGAGTCCCCATCACCTCCACCACCGCACACACCCACCACATGCAATCGAACACCGCCATGCCTCGCCCCCTCCCTCCCGCCCTGCAGGCCCACAGAGGAGGAGCTGGCCGGCTTTGGGCAGCCAGGTGCGGCGCGGGCGCTGCCGTCCGGCGCACCTGCTGCCCATTGCCCCTCTCTTTCTTCGACCTTCCCTCGGGCGCCCGGCCAGCACGCCAGCTCAGCGCGCCAGCTCAGCGCGGCAGCGCCAACCGTGCCTCGGCGCCGTCGCCCACCACCTGCCTCCCTGTCTGCCTCCTATGCCCGCGCCCCTCCTCGCTTTGCCCCACCTCCCCGCCTCTGCCCAGACCTGCCCGCCTCTGCCTGCAGACTTCACTATCCTCAACGCCGGCGCCTTCCCCGCCAACCGCTTCACCTCCTTCATGACCTCCCCCACCTCCATCGACGTCTCCCTCAAGCACCGGGAGATGCTGAGTGAGGCGCTTGGGCTGCCTGCCTGTCCCTGTGCCTGTGCCTGCGGCGTGCAACATGTGGTGTGTGGCGTGCGGCGTGCGGTGTGGTGGCGGGGTCCCCCGCGTGTGCCGGGCAGCCGGCCCGCCCGTCCACCCCGCCTCCTCCACCCCGCACACGCCAGCCTCGCCATCTCCTTGCCCCTCGCTCACCCCTGCGCCCTGGCACAGGTCATCCTGGGCACCCAGTACGCCGGGGAGATGAAGAAGGGCGTCTTCTCCCTCATGAACTATATGCTGCCAAAGGTGGGGCGGTGTACGGTGGGCTGTGCGGCGGTGCGTAGGGGCTGCAATGGGTAGCGTAGGGCGGCCCTGCAGCCCACCCTGCGCTGCACCGTGGGCTTTGTGGCGGTGCGTTTGGAAGCGGGTGTGCGGGCGCGACGGCCGGCCTTGGCACGCTTCGTGTCGCTTGCCGACCGGGTGCCGCCTGGTGCGGGCCCCTCCGCAGATGGGCATCCTCTCCCTGCACTCGGGCTGCAACGAGGGCAAGGACGGAGACGTCACGCTCTTCTTCGGGCTGTCAGGTGGGTGGTGGTGGAGGGCGGGGCGGGGAGGGGTTGGGGGCCGAGGGTGCGGTCCTGCGGGCGTGGCTCGAGTGGGTTGTCTGTGCTGGTCGGGTCGGCAGGGCGCCCAGCCAGCTGCCGAGGATTCGCCGCCGCGACTCTGCGGCGCATGGCAGGCGCCCGGAGGCGCCGGCCCGCCGCCTCGGCCGCTGGATCCATCCGCTGGCGGCACAGCTGCCCAAACCCTGGCCCCGACACCCACACACCACACACCACACACCACACACACACGCACACACACACACACACACACACACACACACACACACACACACACACACATATACCCACACACACAAGCACACACCGCCTCGACGACCACCGCCGCGCCGCCGCAGGCACCGGCAAGACCACACTGTCCGCCGACCCGCGCCGCCCGCTCATCGGCGACGACGAGCACGGGTGGAGCGACCGCGGCGTGTTCAACATCGAGGGCGGCTGCTACGCCAAGGCCATCGGCCTCAAGGAGGTGGGGCGGACGCGGCGGCTGCCGCTCGTTCTGCACCTGCATTACCGCAAAGCAACTGTCGACATCATAAAGGTGCATGTTCCTCGTCGCGACGCATTCTTTCTTGCTTCCCTTTCCTTTCTTCCCACTGCCAGGAGAGCGAGCCCGACATCTACCGGGCCATTCGCTTTGGCACCATCCTGGAGAACGTGGTGTTTGATGAGGTATGATGGTACTGCTGGTACTGCTGGTACTGTTGCTACTACAAAAATCACGGCTGCGGCCTTGGCCGCGCTGTGCTCGCTGGCGCTGCAGCTGCGCCTGCTGCGTGCCCCCGTCCGTCCGCCCCATCCACCGCACAGCTGCAGCACACCTGCCCGCCTGCCCGCCCGCTCCGCCTGCCTGCAGGACAGCCGCGTGGTGGATTATGAGGCTGGCGCCATCACCGAAAACACGCGAGCCTCCTACCCAATCGAGCACATCGGTGGGTGGGGTGGTCCAGTATAATCATTCATAGGGTGCTGGCGGCGGGGCTGCCAGCGTGAGCTGGGGGCGGTTGGGCCTGCCTGTGGGCTTGCCTTGGGCCGAAGCCTCCCCTCACCATCCACCATCCGAGCCAGGTTGCGGGTGTGCTGCAAAGCGCTGGCGCCAGCAGCGCCTGCCTGGGCCTTGACAGCCCCGCGCCTCACACACTCCCCCTGCCCCTCCCCGCGCCGGCCGCAGCGAACGCCAAGATCCCGTGCGTGGGCGGCCACCCCCGCAACATCATCATGCTTGCCTGCGACGCCTATGGCGTGCTGCCGCCGGTGGCCAAGCTGACCAAGGAGCAGGCCATGTGAGGGCGGCTGCCCTGCCACCTTCCCCTCGCTTTCCCCGCCTGCTCTGCTTCCTGCCGCAGGCTGCCGCGCCGCCCGCTTCCGCCGCCGCCGCCGGTTTCGCCGCCGCCGGCCTGGCCGCCCACCTTCTAAACGGACGGACAAGATTGATTAATTTTCTTCAGTCATTCATTGACGATTTACATCATTAAATCATTAATGAATGAACCCGGCACTGCAGGTACTACTTCATCTCCGGCTACACCGCCAAGGTGGCGGGCACGGAGGATGGGGTGACGGAGCCGGAGGCCACCTTCTCAGCCTGCTTCGGCTCCGCCTTCCTCATGTGGCACCCGGTGAGGTGGCAGGGGTGGTGCCCTTGTGACTTGTGTGTGTGGCAGGTGTGATGGTGTTCCTTGTGTGCGTGTGGCAGGTGTGGTGGCGCTGTGACGTGTGTGGTGCGGAGGCCGGGGCCGCCTCCTGGTGCAGCACTGCGGCGCGGACACAGGCCGCCTGCCTGCCCTGCCTCTCTGCACTGACGGGGGCACCCTGCTGCCGCCGCCGCTCAGACCAAGTACGCCTCCATGCTGGCTGAGCGCGTGGAGCAGCACGGCACCAACGTGTGGCTAGTGAACACGGGTGGGTGTACTGCCTACTGTACCGCCTGATGGATGTACCGCAAGCAGCGCCGGCACAGCGTGCCGCATGCCACCCCGCATGCCTCCTCGCGACAGCGGCTGGGCAGCACCCGGCCTGGCGGCCGTCAGCCTGAGCCTGCTGCTTGCTTGCCCCACCGTCTGTTCCCTCTACGCGCTGGCCAGCTTGCTGGGCGCATGGGTATGGGCTGCCCAGACCCCATGTTTCTCTCCGTGCCTTGCCCTCGCCCGCCGCCCCCCCTCCTGCTCCGAGCACCCCTCGCCAACACCCACCCACCCACCCACCCACTCCCTCCTCCCACACACTCCCCGTCGCGCGGCGCAGGCTGGACGGGCGGCCCGTACGGCGTGGGGCGGCGCTTCAAGCTGCGCCACACCCGCGCGATCGTGGACGCCATCCACAGCGGCGAGCTGGCGGCGGCGCAGTACGACACGATGCCCGTCTTCAACCTGCAGGTAGAATTGCGAATCTTTCTGCGGGGCTGGGGGTTGAGGGAGGTGGGCGTGCGTGCATGGCTGTGGCCTGCGGCCGGGAGCTGGCTGCGGGCTGGCGCTGCAGGGCGTGTGAGCTGGGGCTCAGGCCTTCTGGCACGGCCACGGTCGCAGCTTGGCGCCTCGCGCTGCCCCACCCTTGTCCCTCGCCCCTGCACGCTGCGCGTGCTGTGCGCAGGTGCCCACCGTTGTGAGCGGCGTGCCTAGCGAGGCGCTGATGCCGGTCAACAGCTGGGCCGACAAGGAGGCGTACCGGCGCAAGCTGGCGCACCTGGGGGCCCAGTTTGTCAAGGTGGGGCCAGCGGGGGGCTGGCGGGAGCGGGGCGCCGGGCTGCTCGCCAGCGGAGCCGGGGTTTCTGGCTGTGCCCTGCTCCGCGCCGCAGCAGAGTGTTCCGTGATCCTCTGCCGCGCCCCAGCAGCCCACCTGCGCCTGCCCGCTTCCTCCCTCCCTTGCGCCAGAATTTCAAGAAGTTTGAGGATGGAGGCGGCCACGTCAGCGCTGACGAGGCACTTGCCATTCTGGCGGCGGGGCCGAACCCGTGACCGGCCTCGGTGTCCTGGATTCAATGCGGCGCAATGCACCTCTCCTTCAAGCCCAAACTCAACTGACCTTCCACCAACATAAACACTTGCGTGATTATGTTGGTGCACGTGCACGCCGGCCTGCGGCAATTCGACTCTGCTCTGGCTGTTGCCGAGCGTCCCCGTGCGCCTTTGTGGCACGTTTTCCCTTCACACTGCACACTGTGTACACTGCCTTCCACACAACCCTTGCCCGATGCCCTCTACTGTTGTCTGTGCCTGCTCGTCTTCCGCCCTGCTGCCATTCCTCTTGATGACTGGTTTTCATGCGTTTTTCATGCAATCACTGCCTGGTTCCACTCCTTGCTAGCGCTTCACTTTCTGTACTGTTTACTAACCCTGCAACCTTGATACTGCATGCTCCTGCCTGGTGGGACCTTCCATGGCGGCGGCGGCGGCGGCGGCGGCCCAGAGCCTTGCTGGCTGCAGCAGCGCTGCCGCTCACCAACCAGCAAGCGCTCGGTCTGCGTCTCACGCGACAGAGGACCCAATCTGGAAGACTGTACTGCCGTAGTGCCGTTTAGGTCTGCCATTTCACCCCAAGCCATTCGAAACCTCGGAGATTCTCCTGGATGCGTCCCATGCGTCACAGCCCCTTTTCACTGCGGCACCACCTCGCAGGCAGCCCCTCCCGGGGCAGCAGCCCTGGCCGGCGAGCACAGGCCCGCAGAGGGCTGTGGGCCTGCTTGGCAGCCGGCACAGGGATGCTGCTACTCGCCATCTTGGGGGTGGGCAGGCGAGGGAGCAGCCGTGGCAGCAGAGGCGGTGTCGCCGAGCCACCGCCGCTGTCAAAGGCCAGCCTCAACGGCGCCAGCTATGTCGGGCCCCTGTTCTCACAAGTGGCCCGGGACCTGGAGCCCTTCAACCACAGCGGCATCGGCCTGCGCCACGCGGAGCAGGCGTACTGCCAGGGCAGCAAGGCCAGCATGCGAGTGCAGGTGGGGCCGCAGTGCGCTGCCAGCCTGAGGCACTACCTGGGGGCGTTCGGCTGGCCCTTGTATGCCTGCATGCTGGCTGGAGTGCGCGCCGGTGCGTGATTCCCGACTTTGCGAAGGTTTCTCACATGGTTCACACAGTGCTGGGTGCTTACCCATGAGCAGGTGGTGAACGGCAGCGTGTACATAGTGGGAGAGAGCCCATCGTACGAGAGCCGCATGCTGGGCATCAAGCGCCAGCTGCTTCACCTGTGGCTGGCGGGCGGCCTGCCCGAAAGCATCGACGTGAGCGGCGAGCGCTGTTTGATGCTGATTTTGGCTGCTTCCACATGCGCACGCTGCTGTGTCTGGCTGGCTGGCGGCGGCAAGCATCTCTGTGGCTGCTTTGTGGCTGCTTGCGGCGGCGTGTGACGCCCGCGCCTGCACACCTGCCCTCCTCCTCCTGCCTGCCTGCAGTTTGTTGTTGAGCAAGAGGACCACCCTACTGTGCGCCACCGCAGCGACGACTGCCCCGAGCGCGGGCCCATCCTCGCCCCCGCCAAGTGCCCCAGCAACAAGTCACACAGCCATGTGGGTGTGGTGGCAGTGCAGGTCGCGACTCGAAAGATCCGCCCCGCACAAGACAGCAACGGCCGAATGCAGTGCAGTAGTTGGTTCGTCGGGAGTCAAGCTGGCTGTTGTGATGGAGGGCGTGGTGGCAGCCGTGTTGAGTGCCTGCTCGTCTCCCGCTGCCTCCGCAGGTGCTGCTGGCGCCTGACCACACCTTTGCTGGGTGGCCCGAGGCCCGCACCCTGCCCTGGGCCGAGATGCTTCCCCTGCTGCAACACTCGGGTGCGTCCAGCAGGCTGGGCCGGGCTCCGCTGCTGTTTGGCCCGCACCTGCCATCAGCGCTCTGCCCGTTCCCTGGCATGTGCTCCATCAGTCCATGCGTGCTGCCCCGGCAGCTCCTCACAGCTGGTGGCCCGCACCAGCCGGCGCTCTTGATGCGCCCACGGTACTGCCCTCTGTACTGCCTGCCGTACTGCCTTGCTGCAGCCGAGCGGCACCCCTGGGCGGACCGGTCTGCCCTGCTGTTCTTCCGGGGCGCCGCCACAGGGGACCGCAACCTCACAGACTCCGACCTCAGCCTGTCCTACCCAGAGCTGCTGGATGTGCAGGTGTGAGCTTTGGGGAGGTTGCATTCGGGCCCAGTGCACTGCAGAGGTACTGCAAATTCTCCGCTGCACCCGACGGTGTGGCATCATGTGCCGGGCTTGCGCATCGCATAGCATGTGCCCTCTTCCGCTACGATTGCCATGGTGGGCTGCTCCCACCCTGCCGCAGCTTGTCAACTGGACCAGCGCCGAGGAGCGGCCGCTGTTTGTGTCGCTGGCAGACCACTGCCGCCATCGTGCCCTGCTCCACCTCCCCGGCAACTCTTACGCCGGTACGCCGCCGCAGCCATCTGCGGCGCCGTAGCAGCCGCAAGTGGGAAGGACTGTGCTCTGGTCTGCCTGCGCGGCAGCTGCAGGCAATGCTTGCTCCCCCCACTCGCATGCCTCGTCTCGCCCCCGCCCGTGCCTCACTCCACCCTCTTCCCTGCCTCCCCATCGCCCCGCCTTTCTTCCAGCACGCCTCAAGTATCTCCTGGCCTGCGGCTCGGCGGTGGTGATGCCGGACAGCCCCTGGCAGGAGTTTTGGTACCACCTGCTCCACCCTCCCCACAACATCATCGTAACAGAGGAAGGTGGGGCTTTGGGTGGGTGGTTCGGGGCTCGGCAGCCTGGGGCCCTGGCAAGCCAACCCGAGTGCGTGGCAGCTGGAGGTGACGAGGGCTTGGTGTGCTGGAGGCTGGGAGCGGCAGCAGCGCCCTGCATGAAAACAAGTGTGCCCAGTCATGCCCGCTCCCTATGCGCTGGCCTGCCTCGCCCCTGGCTTACAGTGAGCCCGGACAACCGGGGCCACCAGTTTGCTGACGTGGCACTCGAGCTGCAGCAGGACGAGGCCCTGACGCGACGTGTGGGAGAGGCAGGCACTGCTCTTGTGAGGGACAGCCTGGAACCCGCTCAAGTGCAGGCGAGCAGGGTCCGAAGGCTGTTGGTTAGGCGACCATCGCCATGCCTGAGCGCAGCTGCAGGCAGCAGTAGGCAGCAGGCACTGGGTGCCCGCCTGGCTTCTAGCTGTCACCCACGCCTGCCTCTTCCACATGGCTGGCTTGGCTGCCCATCATTGCTTACCCCATGCCTGCCCGCTGCTGCTCCCCGTGCGGCGCAGGCGTACTGGCAGCTTCTGCTGCAGCAGTACCGTGCCCTGCAGAACTACAACGCCAGCCTGCACCCCGATGTGGTACCGCTGGAGCGCAGCATCCTGGTGCCAGAGGTAGGGGAGGGCTTCCAGGCAGCTGCCTCAGGCAATGTGACTCGCTGCATGCTATCAGTGTGCTATGCTGGCCGTGTGCTGTGCTGCTCTGGAACGCAGTGGCGTCCCACCTTGATGTGACGCCACCACCTGATAGCAACACACACTTGCACAGACACGCCGCTTGCCTTCCGCCTGCCTTATGCCGCAGCTCATGAACGTCACTCAGCGCACGTGCCTGGTGTGCAAGCCGACGGCGGAGCAGCTGGAGGAGCAGCGGCGGGCGGACCTGGGGCTGACCGACGAAGAGGAGCTGCCTGCCCTGGAGGGCGCAGCGCTGCCGCTTCCGCTGCCCCAGGCGAGCGCCACGGCACAGCCTGGCACAGCCGGCGCAGCCGAGCAGCCCGTGGGAGCGGCTGGCGCCGGCATCGTGCGCCCCGGCGATGGCAGGCCTGCAGGCCACCCGACAGCTGGCGAGACGCAGTGAGGCGCAGCGGGCCGCTGGGCGCCTCGCCCTCCTCTGCTTTGTGCAACACGTCGCCTTTATTAGACAAAACAAATCGGGGCTTGTGTCCGTAGTTGGCATCTACTTGCCATGTAGCACCTTTTCTCAACCCTGGCAGCCGCTTTGGGCACCGAGCGAGCCAGAACAACAAGCGAGACTGTGCAGCCGCAAAGTACCCCAGCCGCTCCCGGCCGCAGCTGAGTACTGTCCTCAGTACTTTCCTCAGTACTTTCCGTACCACCTGCCGTCGTCCCTCAGCTCCTGCCAGCGCTCGATCCACTCGTCTGGGCAGATAGACCTGCGGCAGGTACCGGCAGCAGGAACGAGCAGCAGCGAGGAAGCTGGGCCTTGATGTTCCAGCACGTGCGGAGGTGCCACTGCCAGGTTGAGGGCTGGCAGCCTCCCGGCTGCGCATGTGCAGCCGTCAGCGCCTCACCTGTAGGCGCGCATGTGGGGCTTGCAGTCGCCGTGCCCGCTGCCCTTCTCCTTGATGCACTTGTGGTACTGCAGAGGGACATGGTACCACCATAGCCATACCATGGCACAGGTAGGAAAGGCTGCAGGGCAAGCAGCTGAGCGGCAGACTGCCGATAAGCTGCCATGGCAGGGGGGGGGGGGGGGGGGGGGGGGGAGGCGAACAGCGTGGCGCTCTTGCGGTCAAGCAACCTGAGCGGCCCCTGTGATCTGGCCCCTGGCCAGAGACTGCGCACAACCTGGAATGGGCCGCTGACGCCCCCGCCCCTCAACTCAACGGCAGCAGCAGCTGGCCATCCTCACCTCGTTGTAAGCCACGTAGCAGCGGCGAGCCTGCGGCAAGGGAGGCGGCGGCGCGGCAGTTTTCGGCCCAGCAGGGGGGCGAGCCAGAGGCGGGGCAGCACTCCAGCCGCTCGGCACCGCAGCCCCGGCGCTGCTTTCGGCAGGGCCTTCTGCTGCTGGTGCAGGCGAGGGCTGGCCTGGTTGGAGGTGGGGAAGCGAGCGTCCTGCGGGGCGGTACGCAGCGTCACTTCCTTGAGCGCCTGGCCGTCGCCGCCGCCGCCGCCGCCGTTGCCGTTGTCAGTGGTGGTGACGGCGCCTGCGAGCGGGGCAGCGCGGGCGGAGCCAGGAGGCATGGCAGCGGTGAGTGCCTCCCAGCTGTGCCCGACCGCTGGCTGACTCAGTTGCAGGCCACCGCGGCCGCGGCGGTTGTCGGCGGCGGACGAGGGGCCAGCCGCCGCCGGTGCCCTGCTCCACCGCCACAACCTTGGACGCCCCCATAAACGCCCTCAGCGCTCCCCCAACAGCAGCAGCAGCCAGTCGAGGCCAGGCCAGGCAGAGAGATCTGAACCCGTGGGTGCCAGTCCCCCGACCTCCAGGCAGCCACCCACCTGCTTCGTCTGCCATGGCCGTGGTCCACTCGTCGCTGGCGGGCTGGGAGTCTTCTGGGCCGGCCTCGTTGGTGGCGTCGCTACCCACTTCTTGTGTGCTCTCTCCGCTCAGCGCCTCGCTCACCCTGATGGCGTCCTGCGACTCGCTCATTGTGGGAGGGGAGGAGGCAAACAGGGCTTTGGTTTTGGAGGTGGAGGCAGGTGGAAAGCCGGCATTCCTTCTGCATCAGGTGTTACCTCTCTGGCTCCCACTCAACTCACAACTCGGCAGTGTCTTGTGCACTGCGTTGAGGCTAGCCGCTTCCTGGCAGAGTGGCAGCCCCCTTCTGCGCTGAAACACGCCCCTGTGCCTGCCTTCTGCCCTCTGGCAGCGTGCCCAAGGCGCTGCAGGCAGCAGCATGGCCCCCTCACCCCCCTTCCGCTCCTGCCGGCCAACCCCGCCCGCCGCCGCCACGGCCGCGCCCTCGCGCGTCCAATCCAGCGCCAGCCTGAGCGTTCAGCTCCGCTCGCTGCTGGTGGACCTGCCTCTCCTTGCGGGCAGCCTGGATCTGCAGGACCGCAGGCGCCTGGCGGAGGCGGCAGCCTGGGTGGACCAGCGGGTGTTCAGCAATCTGGAGGAAGCTGCCGCAGCGGTGTCCCCGTGAGCACAGACAGGCCGAGTTGAGGAATGCTGATGTGGCTGCTTTGAAGCCCCTGCTGTCCCGCCAGCTGCTCTCACACGCCTGTGCGCTGGATGCAGGGAGGTTTGGGGGCTCGCGGGGGAGCAGCTGGCAGCGGCGGGTGCGGCGCTGGTGCCCACCGCCAGTCCTGGATGCATAGCGTGGCAGCAGCAGCTGTATCATGTGTCCACAGTGGCAGACGCCGTACTGGAGATGGCTAACGTGGCCGGCCAAGATCTGCAGCCAACAGCGCGCCTGGCTCTTTGCAGCGCTGTTGAGCTGCTGCTGGGGGCGGGGCGAGTGCCCCTGGCAGAGTACGCGGCGGGCAGCCTGCCTCACGGCGCCTCGCCGGCATTCGCTGTGAGCATGGTGGCGAGGCAGCTGCGCATCATGGGCCTTCTGCTTATACTGTTCAATGCATGCCAGCATACAGCCGGCGCTGGAGACGAGTTTGCTTCTCCGGAGCGATTCGCTGCCTGGCTGGAGGCGGCGGTGGGAGCTGCCAAGGCGTTGCGTCAATCCTCGCTGCATGGAGGTGCGTGAGCTCCTGCCGCTGGTGCCTCTGCTGCCTGCCTCTACATGCGCTTCAATTGGCCCTCGTGGCTTGCTTTGCAGCTGCAGCAGATGTGCTTGCAGTCTCGAGTGCCCTCTGCTTGATAGTTTGGCAGCTCCGGAATCCACTCTTTGAGCAGCTCTGGATTGCTACCCAGCTGGTAGGCAGCTGCTACCCAAACATGTGTGAGCTGCTTGTCGCAGCCCTGCACAGGATGGCAGTGGCTCTGCAGCTGCCGCCTGAACGGCGCCCAGCAGAATACAGCCAGTTCGGCTGGGACCATGTTGGCAGCGTGGCATGCGTCCTATCAGGCACCGACATGACAGCTGTGTTGGCGGAACACATGCAGCCGCCAGCCGCAGCCACCAGCAGCAGCGGGGCAGTCAGCAGCAATGACCAGCGGCTGTTGCGGACCGCGGGGCTTCTGGTGGAGCATGCGCCACTAGATCCATGGCTTGCTGGAGCAACCTTCATGAGCAGTATCATGCGGCTGCTGGGCAGCGTGTGCGAGCGCGTCAATCGCGCTGTCCACTGCTTCCGCGAGTGCAATCGCGACCTGCAGCAGCCCCACCAGGCCCAGCAGCTGGAGCAGCTCTCCCACATGGAGCAGCAGCTGCTGCAAGCGCTGCCACGCCTGCCGCAGATGGTGCAGCATCTGGCAGCTGATGAGGAGCTGCGCTTTGGGGCAGACAGCGCTGTTGCCCTGTGCAGAGGTTGGGAGCAGGCAGCTGCTTTGTTGCAGCAGCTAGCGGATCTCTCCATTGCCGGGGAACCTTCCGGCAGGTCAGCAGTCATCGACACTGTGTCAGACCTGGCAGCGTGGGGCGGGGCAGGCAGTGCAGCTGTCCGCTCCGTGTCTCTCTTTGCGGCGGTGGTCAGGCAGCACCACGCCCATTCATATCTACAGATCGGGATCAGAAGTCTGGTTTTCAGACTCGTCTCTTTCGTGGCGGTCCTAGAAGCAGCTGTTGCATCCTGCGCCAGGCGGGGCTTTGGTGCCTCAACAGGCTCCCCGCCAGCGGAAAGCATTGTGGCTGAGGCTGCCGCGGCACTGTGGGGGATGCACACGGCCGCATGCCGCGCTGCGCACTCGCAGGCAGCAGGGGACCATCTGCTGGTCCTCATCCCTGATCCAGCCCTTCGATACGCCAACACAACTATGCTGGCCTCTTGGCAGCTGCACCAGCGCATGCAACCAGGCGCCACAGAGCCAGCCAGGTGCGGTGCGCAGCTGCATGCTCGCTCCTTGCTGCCTTGACATTTCTGATCAGGCAAGTTTGGCCATGTTGTGCAGGCACCTGGCTGCCATGGCTGCGGCCCACATGCAGATGATCCAGGCTGTCATTTGCGATGCGGGCGGCGCTGCTGAGCGGCTGCCTTCAGATCTGTTCTGCTCACAAGTTGCCAGCACCCTGACTGTGTGTGGCGCGCTGTGTCCAGCGGCCCTCAGTCCGGCCCTGCGGCACCTGCTGAGCCAGGCGGCGCATGGCATGTCAGCTAGGGTGAGAGAACTGAGGGGTGGCTGGAAGCCTCGGTCTGCCTACAGAAACGGCATCTCTACAGGGCCGCTTTGATGCTCCATGGGCGTCACTGCTGTGCAGGTGGAATCTGAAGGTTGGGCCACCATGATCGCCGTCGCCGCTCAGGCGGCGGCGGGGTCCCCGCGCCTGACCGCATGCCTCATTGCTGATTCTGTTATGGATGAACTACTTGAGCAGCTGCATTCAGCTCCTGCTTTCCTCCTGGGCATCACAGTGGTGAGATGGAACACGGATGCATCATGCCTGATAGGAAGAGCAGTGCTGATGCTGTGGTTTATGACGGGACAGGATTGCAGGGAGGATTCAGAGATCTTTTTGAAAACTAATCGCGCTGTGGCTGGGTGGTGCAGGTTCTCCCAAAGAGCACAGCGGTCAGCCTGCTGGCATCTGCCTTTAACGGCTTGTGCAGAGCAGCAATAGAGCTGGGGCCAGCGCCGAGCAGCACGGCTGGCACCCGTGCAGGCACTCTGCCGCAAGACCTGACGGTTGGAACGGCGACCGTCACTCGTTTGAAGTTCCTTCTTCCGCAGTTCCGCCAGCTGGCAGCGGCCCTGCTGGAGCACTGGGCACGGCCTGAGCAGCAGCAGCAGGATGCGCTGCAGCTGGCGCAGGCGGCTGCTGCCCGCAGCTGCGCCTACCTGCGCTGCTCCAATGTGGGCGGCGAGGGCGGGCCTGCCGTGGGCCAGGGCGCCGGCAGCCAGCGCTGCGGCGCCTGCAGGGCAGTCTGGTACTGCAGCACCGCCTGCTCTCACGCCGACTGGCGGCAGGGCGGCCACCGGCGCGTGTGCAAGGCGCTGGGAGCGGCGCGGCAGCAGCAGAAGCAGCAGGCTGCGGCGGCGCAGCAGGCGGCAAGCTGAGCGCCGGCTGCCTGCAAGCCATCACCAGGGTACCAGGACAAGCAGAGGCCCCTGGCTTTCATCACTGCACATGCTCATCAACCCTTCCTCTCCTGCTCTTTCCATGTTTGCTCCTGCGCAGCTGTCGTGCCAGTGTGTAAAACTGCTCCACGTCGATGCTCACTGCCAGCCCGCACGCTGGCCGCATGCTAGAGGCAGCGTGGGCGCCGGCGCCGCCGCCGCCGCCGCTGTGCTGCCACGCTGTGCCCACCCCTCCCAGCGCCCAGCAGCTGCCTGCTACCTGACTCTACCTTCGCTAGGGTTACAGGTCCCGACCAGCCGCATCTGCCACCAGCACCAGGCTGCTCTGCATCATGATGAAGCCCGCGCCCTGCCGCGGGTGGGGCGCACCGCCGCGGTACAACCCGCGGTACGCCACGCTGTTGGCCTGTCCCGCCGGGCGTACCGCCGCCGTCACGTCGGCCACCCAGGGCCGCACGTCCTGGCCGTCGCACCACCCGTTCCTGCACGCGTGCGGGTGGAAGAAAGCGGCCGTGGAGGGAGGATGTATCCGGATCTGGGAGGCAGGCGCCTCCAGGAGCCGGCAGCCCACCAGCCGCAGGACTGCAGCCACAGGAGTCGCCCCACTTCCTTCCTGCAGGAGCGCAGCGGACGGCATGCAGGTAGGCCCCAGCCGCGCAGCCGCCCCCGGCACAGGCACCGCCTCCGCCAACTGCCAGCTGGCTGCCAGAACGGGTGTCACCATCATGCAGTAGCCTACTGGGGCGCCGGCGACGCGTGGCACGGGGAGGCGGGCGGGCACGCGGGCAGCTGCCCCAGCAGGCGGCGGCCCACCTGCTGTACATCCAGGTGCCGTGCTCGTTGGGTACCACGCCCTCCAGAACCTGGCAGTACACCAGTACATACACCAGGCCAGCCATGCTTAGGGGTCACCTCTTGCAACACCAGTGCATCCCCGAGCGATCTCCCACAGCCCCGCAGCCCTGCCCCACAGCATGAGCACGCGCCATATCAGGAAGCACGGGCCCTGCAGGCCCCCTCACCTTGTCTGCGCAGCCCCAGAGGCTCCCCGCCTCCCAAAAAACGACGCTGTGCGGCCGGCCGTTGACGGCAAACTCGTGGCTGGTTGGGCAGAACTCGGCGCACCCGTTTTCGTCGCTGCCGTGCCCTGTGATGAAGCTGACGATCAGGGCGCGGCGCAGGCCCGGGGGTGTGGTGAAGTTGAAGGGCAGGCGGCGCGAGTTATAGCCGGCGTCAAAGGCGCCGCCGTCAAACGGCGGCAGCGGCAGCAGGCGCAGGCGCTGCGGCTGCGCGGCAGCGGCGGCGGTGGTGGTGGTGGTGCTGCTGCTGCTGCAGCTGGTGGAGGTGGTACTGTTGCTGGTGCTGGTGGTTGTACCGCTGCTGTACCGCAGGCTCAGGCGGGGCACCCAGGCACCGGCCCAAGCAGCCGACTGCAGGGTGAAGGTGCACTGCTGTCCGGGAGCAGCGGGGCCTGCAGAGGCCCCACATCAGTCAGCCAGCGGCCCACGCCCCGCCTGCAGCAAGGCGGCGCACAGCACCCGTGGGCTTGCCTTGTGCCCCCAGCGGCGGGAAGCGACGCCGGCGGTACAGATCCAGCACAGCAGGCGCAGCTTGCGGTGTGAATCGTCACCGGCTGGCGTGTGTACAGCACAGCAGGCGCAGCAGCATGCATCTGGTTGCAGCGGCAGCCATGCGGGTGGTGCCCAGGCGGCTCACCCACCTGAATGGGGTGACCCATCGCCCCAGCTCCCGGCCGCACAGCAGTGGCTCATCCAGCTGCCGCAGCCGCCCCTCCCGCCCCTCCCGCCCCTCCTTTGCAGCCTCCGCGACGAGCAGCGAGCGGGCAGTACCGGAGCCGCCGCCGCCGCCTGCTGCCGAGCCTGTCGCCGCCGCTGCTGGGCGGTTGCTGCTGCCTGCGCTGCTGCGGCTTCTCGGGGGCAAGCCCTGGGGCGCAGGCCCCGGCTGGCGGCCGTCGAGACGCCAGACGGTTGGCTGGCAGGGGTCGCAGGGCGGCAGCTGGCCCTCTGGGTCTTGGCAGCACACAAACAGCTGGACCACGTGGTCCCACTGGGGGCAGCCTGCAGGCGGAGGGACCAGGCGGTGGGACCAGGCAGCGGGAAAGGGGCCAGGCACGCCTGCCCTGCCGGCGCACTGCCCGGCAGCAGGATCTCGGCACAGCAAGCTTGTTGCTGTGCAACCCCTGCCTTCCAGGAGCGACTCAGATGTGGTATGTGTGTGTGTGTGTGCGCGCGCGCAATGTGTGTGTTTGGGGGGGGGGAGGAGAGAGAGTGAGTGTGTGTGAGAGAGAGAGAGAGTGAGTGTGTGTGTGTGTGTGTGTGGTGGGGGGGGCGTCAGTGCAGGGTCAGCAGGGTCAGTGGCTGGCGCCCTCACTCACTCGAGTCGTTGGCCCCGGTGCAGCCCAGCGCCAGGTCGAGCTCCAGCCTGTGTCGCCCCGCCAGCTGGCGCCAGGTGGGGAGCGCCACGTCAGCGCGCACGCCGTGCTCCCCCTCCATCGGGGCCTGCCCCGAGAAGATGGGCACAACCAGGGCGGGTTTTGCGGCAGGCAAGGCACATACAGGCACTGTGTAGGCGCTATGAGCAGCATGGAGGGTTCCACTGGCACCGAGCAGCTGGTGAATGCTCAGGCCCCCCTAAGGTGGGAGAGGAACCTCCACAGGCCCAGGTTCCCCACCAGTTGGGAGCAGCAGCAGCCCCCCCCCCCCCTGCTCGCCCCGTGGGCCTGCTCACCTGCCAGCCGGGCATGCAGGCGGTACAGGTAGTGCTGCCACTGCGCGGCCCACACCGCCGTCATCAGGGAGGGGAACTTTAGCCAGCCGACCTCAAATAGCCGCCCGGAGGCATCGATGCCGGCAAACAGCCCGGGCCCCTGAAAGGAAGCCGGGCGGAGCAGCGACAGTGAGGCCAGCCAGGGGCACCGAACTCAGCAGAGCCTCAGCAGAGCCTCAGCAGAGAGTGCAAGGGGTGGAAGCAGAAGCTGCGGCACAAGGCTGGGTGCGGCGGGAGCTCGGGCGGCCAGCCAGCCCCACCCAGCCACGCCCGTCAGCAGCGGCAGCACTAGGCGCCCACCTGCACGTCGCGGAAGGTGGCGGTGACGGCGCCGCCCGCTTCCAATTCATTCCGTACCACCTCTCCCACCATGTATGGTACCAGGGTGGCCGGGATGGCGATCGCGGTACCGCACTCGCCCTCGCCAGTGCAATTCACCTCTGCCAGGTGCGCGCCCCGCGGCGCCGCAAACATGACCGCCCGCGCCCCGCCGCGCTGCGCCGCCGACAGCATCCGTTCGTACCCGCACCGCTGGCCGCCGCCCGCTGCCTCCGAAGCGCCGGGCAGGGAGGTGAGGAGGATGAGGGCGACTGAGGCGTCGAGGCGGGGCGGCGGCGTGCTAGGTGGCGCCGGCCAGGCGCAGTCGCTGCCAGTCAGTGCCACCTCAGCACTGACGCCAGACAGCGGCCAGGGGATCCAGCTGTATGCCGCATCCAGCCTGCCAGACGACAGCAGCTGCACCTCCGCAGCTGCCGCTGCCGCTGCGCCTGCTGCCGCTGCGGGGCGGGCGGCCGCCTGAACGACGCGCCGCGGCGACTGCCACCGCGCCAGCAGCTGCGGCAGCCAGGACGCCAGGCGCGCTGCCGGCTGCGTGCCAAAGTGCAGGCGCTGCAGCAGCGGCGCCAGCTGGGCGCCTGGCAGGCCCAGCGCCCGCGCGCGCGCCAGCAGCTGCTGCCGCATCCAGCGCGCATCAGCCTCCGCCTCCTCCGCTGTGCCTGTACAACATACATGTATAGGAGCATAGATAGGAGCAGGCAAGGCACCGGTGAGCCGCTGGGAAGCAATCTATTGCCAGCTGCTCAGCAAAATCACCCAAGGCTGCTACGCACCTGAGTAGGACAGGAAGAGGTAAGACACGCCTGGCGGCGAGCGCATAAGCACGCTGGCCAGGGAATCGTGCGCTCGCCACATGGTAGCGCTGAAAGGGTCCTGCCAGTCTAGGCAGGCGATGACCAGCGGCAGGCGGCGGCTGCCGGGACCAACGGTGAGCGGGCCGCCCAGGGTGGCGATGGTGAAGGCTGCAGGGGCGAGAGTGGGCGTGGCGAGGGTGTGGGCGGCGAGAAGCAGGCGGCGCGGCGGGGGGCAGGGGGAGGTGGCAGCAAAGCGGGCGGCCTACCCGCGACTACGTCTCCCGGATTGAATCCAGTGCCGATCGTGGCACACGCGATGGGCAGCAGGCAGGCTGCTACGATGGACAGCAGCCAGCAAGGGGGTGCCTGGCCGATCGCCATGGCTCGGAAGTCACGGAGGCCGCTTCCCAGTTCGCAGCATTCAAGGAAGGCACAGTGGTAATGGCTGGCAATGCTCGAAATGGGATTATCTGGAGCTTTTGCCTGCCCTGCTATGCATGCTGCGGCCGGAGGCGAGGGCTCTGGTGCCAGCTGCTGCAGGTTAAGGAACCATGCCAAACTACGCATTGCAGTACCTGACCAGCACTGTCTGAGCATTGTCACAGCATTGGCAGCACTGTAAAGCTTGCCCCCAGGCTGCACACAGGACCCGTAGGGCGCTGGCGGTGTGCACGGCAGCGGATGGCAAGGGTGCAAACGTCTATCGCTGGGGTCTTTGACATTGCCACCGGTCACTCAGACCTGCCAGATTAACAGGCCTTCATCATTCTCACAGCCCTTTGCACACCGTTCTGATGCCGTGCTTTCACAACCTTCAACCTGAGCGCACCACTGTGTGGGGAGGACCCCCGCCAGCACCGCCGCCGACGGGCGCGCTCCACCTTAAACAGGATCACGACAGGGCTGGTGTTCATGTCGGCGCGGATGCCAGAAGCAGTGTGCAAATGTAGCAATGGAGAGCAGCAGAGAGGCTCAGCGGTGTGGGTCGGCACGGGAGGGCTGTCGGCGGCGATCGCCAAATCCGGGCTGCACCCCTGCTCGTGTGCGTCCTATCCACATTCCGTGCACCCCAGCCAGACAGCGGTGCTGTGAACCACCGCCCCGCTTATGCGCTCTCTCCTGCTGGCTGCACGCCTCACGCAAGCACCCGCCTGCATTGTCTGATTACGGAAATTTGCAGTTCTCCAGGCGCCAACACTGGCCGCGCCAAGGCCCGACAGGCGGCAGGGTTTTCTCAGAGTTGCGTGGGCGGAAGGCTTGCATGGGCGCCTCGCTGCCTCCCATCATAGCTGGTGTGCAGGCCGGGCATCAGGTGTGCAGGGAAGGGGCTTCCACATGACTGGGACGGGCCAGGAAAGCCCCCCTCACCCCATGCTGCGCCGCTGCTGGGCTGCCCTCCACATCCTGTTCCCCTCCTCCACGGCGCGGCAGTGCAGCCTGGGTGAGGGCACGTTGGTTGAGACAGGATGGTTCACGGCATGCGGCCCTGAGAGCTCAGGACAGCAGGGATGAGCTTGCAGCCAAGAGGGGAGCCTCCCCTCCCGGCCTGGGCGCAGTGCCTGCCGGATGCAGAGGCTGCGGTGGCCACTTGGAAGCAGCTGAAGGGCGCCTGGGAGCCGGTGGAGGCCTCGCTTCACGCCATGTCTGGTAGGAGCCGGCCAGGGGCCGAGTCAACCGAGAAGCAGCAGCGGGAGGCGCTGCTGAAGGTTCATCAGAGGCTGGTGGAGCTGGTACAGGACCGCGGGACGGCCTACGGCTCTGCCTTCGAGGCTTATTGTCTGCACGCCGGCGGCAGGTGCGGCAGGGCGGGAGCGGAGCTTTTCGGCAGCGCGGCAGCATGCTTGCGGGGCTGCCCGTGATGCTGCAGCGCTGCTTGGGCAGCAGGGAACAGTGGCAGCGCAAGCCGAGGCGGCGAGGGGCAGCACCCGCCTGCCTGGCCGCTCGGTCGTGTCCCGCCGTGGGCCGATCGGGAGCCGCTGCCGACGTGGGCTCCTGCGCTGTCGGGGCGCGCGTGCTGGTGCAGGCTGGAGCAGGAGCGGGGCGGCGAGGCGGCGCTGGTGGCGCTGCTGGGGGCAGTGGTGTTTGCCATAGACGCGCAGCAGGAGCCCGGCGCGCCGGCGGCGCTCCGCAGCATGCTCGCGCCGGCCGCCTCGGTGGCAGCCGCCGTGCTGGCGCACGCCCAGCAGCAGAAGCCGGCGCGGGTGGCGCTGTCGGGTGCGCACCGTGCCGCGAGCGGGCTGGCTTTGTGAAGCATGCCGCGGTGGCGTGTGTGCAGCGGCAGCGTGTGTGCGGCGGCGTCCCGCTGGAAGGGAGACGTGGGGCCGGCGCTGCCACGCTCCTGCGGCTGCGAAGCTCCTGCACCTGCCAGCCCGGCGCGGGCCCGACCCTGGCCTACCTCGCGCCCCGCGGCTGCCGCCCCTGCTGCAGGCCTGATGGCGGCGCTGGCGGCGCTGCTGCTGGACTGCAGCAGGCACGACCTGGCCTCCTTCACCGCTGACCTGTCCACCGCCGAGGCGGCGCTGCGCTGCGCGGTGGCGGCCGGCGGCGTGGCCGCCGCGCGCGGCAGCTCGCCGCAGCGCGCCGCGCTCTGGGGCGACCTGCTGCCCGCGGCCTTCAAGGCCATCCGGAAGCTGGGTGAGCGGCCGCTGCTGCTGCTGCTGCTGCCGGGGGAGGGCTGGAGGGGTGGAGGGACGGAGGGAGGCCTGCCTGGAGGGGTGGCCTGCCTGCCTGCCTGCCTGCCAGGAACGTCGGGGCCGTCCGCCGCCGAGGATGCGGTGGCGTGCCCCGAGCGCCGCTCACCCCTCCCTCCCCCGCGTCTCCCGCCCTGCCCCGCGCCTCCTCTTCCCCTCCCCTGCCTCCCCGCTACCCGCGGCAGACGACATGGACGAGCACGCGCTGCTGGAGGGAGAGCGCTGGCAGTTTGTTCGGGCGTGCGGCGCGCTGCTGGGCCTGGCCCTGTCGGCCACCGAGAACTTGCGGCTGGATGTCAGCCTCAGCGACGCCCTGGCGCCGCTGGATCGACAGGAAGTGGCCCAAGGCGCCGTTACGCTGGCGCACCAGCTGGGATGGTGCGTCCGGTCGCTGCCGCGGCGGCGCCGCTGCCGCTGCCGAGGCCGCCGCCGCCGCTGGCCGGCTGCTGTTGCTGCCGGGGCCGCCGCCGCTGCTGCTGCTGCTGCGCATCCCGCCTGCCCAACAGCAGCAGGCAGCGGGGCCGGGTGAAGTATCGGCTGCCGGCTGCTGCCGCTGCTTGCGCACGGCCGGTTGCTGCCGCTGACGGCCCCCGGGCCCCGCGGCCTGCCCCCGCCGTGCCCCCCGCAGCTGCTACCGCGAGCGCCTCGCCAAGGAGCCGCCCCCAGATGAGGAGACGCAGGCGAAGCTCGCAGAGGTGTGGCCTGGTGGGCTTGTGTGCAGGCCCGCTGGGGCATATCAAGACGGCCAGCAGGCCCGGCAGGCGGAACCTATTCCGCTCGCTAGACCAGAGGCAGCCGTGGGGCCAGGGCTGCGAGGCGGCCAGGGCTGCGAGGCCAAGGCTGCTCCCCCGCTGCCGCCGCCGCCGCTGCAGGTACTGGGCTGGCTGTCCAAGTCGCTGCAGCTGCTCAGCCTGCTGCTGCAGCACGGCGGGCAGATGGAGGCGTTTCTGGATGATGGGGGGGTGATGTCGCTCTGCCTCCACCTGGCCAAGTACCCAGCCATCCACGCGCAGCTGCCGCCCAGGTGCCGTGCGGGATACTGCTGCTGTGCCTGGGCCCCGCAGGTCCTCAGTCGCAGGCCCGCGCGTGCGTGGCTGGCTGCTCCTGCCTTGCTGGGAGGTCCTCGCTGCCGCTGCCGCTGCTGCTGCAAGGACAGGTGGTATGCAGGCCTGCTGTGCGCGCCGGGTGGTGCGCTGCCCGCTGACGTGGCGGGCGCCGCGCTGTGCGCGCTGTGGTGCAGCCACGCCGCGCACGCTGTGGACTGCCAGGTCGTGGAGCTGCTCACCTACGCCCTCAACAACAGCAAGGTGCGCTGGGGGCGGCAGGCGGCAGCAGCGGGCGCCTGGCGTCGCCGCGGGGTGGATCGTCGGCTGCGCTGCTTGAGCGGCGCAGGTGGCCGGAGGGAAGGCCCCGCCCTCGCCGTGGCCGCCCCACCCAGCACGCACACCCACACACCTGCCGCTTGCCCCTGCGTGCGTGCAGCGCGCTCGCGAGCTGCTGGGGGAGGGCGACCAGGGCAGCGGCGGCAGCGGCATCAAGATCCTGCTGGCCGCGCTGGCGGCGGCGCCGGGCCTGCAGACGCTGCTGGCTGACGCGGTGGTGCACAGGCGCGTGTGTGTGGGAGGGCGGGCTGGGGGCGCGTGCGCATGGGGATGGGGAGTGGTGGCGGGCTGGGTGGGGGCTGGCCCCGCCCCGCTGCCCCGCTTGGCGGTTGCGGCAGGCCTGCCCGCTTTGGGCGGCCACTCGACGCGCCCACACACGCACGCTCGCACACCGTCCCCAACCTCCCTCTGCCCCGCG